GTCGTCGTGGTAGTGGTAGTGGTAGTGGTAGTGGTAGTGGTAGTGGCAGTGGCAGTGGCAGTGGCAGTGGCAGTGGCAGTGGCACTAGTAGTAGTAGTAGTAGTAGTAGTAGTAGTCGTAGTAGCAGCAGTAGCAGTAGCGGTCGTGGTGGTGGTGGTGGTGGTGGTAGTGGTGGTAGTGGTAGTGGTAGTGGTAGTAGTTGTTCACCCAAGAAACCATCATTGCAACAAGTAGCCCCTTAGAGTGCGTCTCAAGTTCCAGATGACATCGGAACAAAAGCACGGCCCGGACCTTGCTTCCCTTGAGCAAGTCCTGCCGAACGCTGCAGTCTTGCAATCTATTCTGGCTTGCTATAATGCTGCCACGACAACACCTGACAACAGCAACTTCTACCCCTTTGTTTAGCAAACTCTCCCATTCAGCAGCGCCAGCGGCAACTGCTACACCAACCCAACCCCTCCACGACGTCGACCGAAACAACGTGGCTTGTGTTGCGGTCGCTACTGCTAGTATGAACCGTGGAAATTGTCGCCATGATCAAGAACCCAGGAACAGTGAAATACCCACAGCTCATTGTAGGAAAGCATTCAATCTCAAAACGAAACAACCTAAACCCGAAACCTGACAAACGAGGTCTTGAGACTCTAAATGGCCCCAAATCCGCTCCTCGGAGACAAAAACCGAAGCTCTACCCTTCTCCACCTCTGCCACGAGCCTCAGGGCACAAGGCCGGAAGGCTCAGCGTTTTGGGACTCAGCGATTGCAATGCTTGTTGCTCTTTTGCCCAGGCTCGGACCCTGCACCAGCTGGGAATGGGCAGCCAACATGACTACTGCATGTCGGCGACCATTACAAGTGCTGCAGGCGTGGTTATTGCATGACATGATTACAGTTACGATTATCATTCTTCCTAGCAAGTGCAGTGCTAGTTTGTTTCTTCGGCCTAGATTCTTCCTTCATTCTCGCACTGGTACCATGCTCCTAGTAGTTCGGATTCTGGGAATTTGACGACTGTCTTTGGCTTCATTTCGCTTCTGCTCTCGCAGAGGCTTCCCTCCAGTCTCTTGCGAATCTGCGTAAGCGGGCCGAGAGCCCAAGCCTCAGAATTTCCAGCATAGCTCCTGGGAAGATGCTCTTTGAGCCCTTGAGTCTCAAGCACAGTCTGGATGTGACCATTGCGATGGAGATCACCCACGACCTCGTGCTAAAGCGGCTGAAGACGCTCGGCACGCAAAATTTACATGGCCAGCAACTTGCGAATCCAGTCAGAGGTTGACATCGAGGATGTGTCCAGCTTAAGTGCCTACATGAGAGCACTCCCGGAACGTCTGAGAAGCCAGCTGCCACAGCAATAAGGTTGATCTTCCTCTCGATTAATGACTCCAGATGTTCCTCCGTCGCCTGGGCCTGCACAGTTCCACTCGATAAAGCCATCATGCCTGGGAGCCTGTTTACCAAACCCCCAATGCAAACACACTCAGCCATGCACAAGAGTGTGAAACGAGAAAGGTGAGAACACCGATAGCCTCTACTTCAGGTTGTGGTCGGCGCCTCTGTTGTTGCAGTTTCCTTTGCCGTCGTCCTCGTCGTAGCAATAATACGAGCATAATGACAAATTGTCGTCGCTGTAAAAGCTTAGCAGTCGCCTTGGCTGTGGTAGTGTAGCGGCACAACATCTTCCGCAAAAGGAAGAGCAACAGCATGGTCACCAGTATTTCAGTTTGCGACTTCTTCAAAAGGTCCGCGCTTCTTTCCAACGGTCTGCTGCTACTGCTCACCCTGCTCCTCCTACCTCTACTTTCTGCTGCATACTTTCTTGAGCTTTGCTCTCTGTTGGCGTCAGTCAATAACAGAGTTGACAATAACTGCAAGCACGCTGCCTTCAGCTCATGCAGTGAAGACATAGACTGGTCAGTTAGCATGGTAGCGGTAGCAGTGGCAGCAGCAGCAAGAGTAGTAGTCGTCGTCGTCGTCTTCGTCGTGGTGGTGGTAGTGAGTCGTAGCGAGAAATAGATAGTAGGCACTATGCAGTAGTGCGGCAGTAGTAGTAGTAGTAGTAGCAGTAGCACTAAGAGCAGCAGCAGCAGCTCAGTAGCAAGTACGAGCAGCTAGTAGCCAATAGCTATGTGGGAGTGGAGCAGTGCAGTCGTGGCCGCAGCAGTTCTTGATTCGTTCACAAACACTACTGTAAGCCCGGATTCTTGTTGTCAACCCGTAACCCGATAGGTGCAGAGAATAGGCGGCCTTCTTCTCAGCAGCCTTCCGCTTCTTAGCCGTGTCTCGTGCAGCTTGGGCAGGTGTGTCGTCCTGGAAGAAGAGGCGTTTCAGGTTCGAGATTCGGTCTGACAATGAGCGTTGAAGAGGCTCCTGTCGGAACATGCTCGCTTATGATCAAGCGAAACAAACCTAGGAGAGTACCGCGATCAAGGGTTTCGTCCGACCATCGAAGAAACGGCAGGAGCCCGAACCTACTGTCATGCCCTCTTCGCGCCCTCGATGCCAAGGAACTCTCTTCGAAAAAACCGTCCTCTGTCGCGCGCACACGCGCGGCCTAGGCCTGTGCCTTTTCAATCGGCAGGCTAGCGCAAGAGCCGGAATCTTCAGACATTGCCGTCCATGTCACATGCTGCACCGCAGGAGTATCACGTTGCTTCGAGATGTATCAAGAACCGATCAGCAGCCGACAGACCCAGTCTTCGTTCCGTGGAGTCTACCCACACATCTCAACATGGGGTATGTGGCGCCGCGTCCTCAGAGATCGTCGAAACCTTGGAGGAGCTGTCCTCGAGGACTGCGCCAGCCAAGATCTTCCTCGCTAGCGACAGGCTGCTGATGGAAGCGAGGCTTAGATAGCTTTGTGGGTTGTACATGCCAATGTGCACTCGCAGGGTCACACGCCATGCAAATCTATGCGGAGGCGCTAAGCCACAAGGCGATTCGGTCTCTTGATTTCTGTACGAAGCAACACAAACAGACAGAGCTACATAGTGCTACATGTACAACATACCTACATACATACATACATACATACATACCTGCGCAAAAAACACGTACATACATGCATCCGAACCAATACATCATACCATACATACCTATCGTACGTACTTACATGCTAGTACCCATTCCTTACATACATACTTGCGTCAAAGCAATCCTTACATACATAGATGCATACATACATATCCATCCATCCATCCGTGCATGCGATTGACATACATACTTGCATGCATACATACATACATGCATACAGACATACAGACAGACATGCAGACAAATGTGTTTGAAGGTGTGAAGGTGTGTACGTGTGTACGTGCGTACGTCTGTATGTGAAGTAGAGTATGGCATAGTGTGCTATAGTATTAGCCTAGTCTAGTACAGCATAGCATTGAACAGTGTAGTATCGTATCGTATATACAGCACAGTTTTGTACAGCATAGTTTTCCGTATGCGTAGTGTAGCATGCCATGATATACCATGTATACATGCATGCACAAGCGGCGCGCATGTACAAGTGGTATGGTGGTGGTGCTGGCTCTGGCGGCAGTGGTGTGCAGTGTAAAGTCCAAATGGAGTCCAAACCCGTAATCATTGCCTCCCAGTGGAGGCATCTGTAGAAAGTGTATAAATATCAAGGTGAGGTCATGCGGAAGCATGAATTGCACAGCTGCATGCTTTCCTACCTGCATTGATGTCTTGACGTCTACCGTCCGACCGACATGCCTAGCTTTCACGTCGCTGCAGGCGGACCCTGAAGACGTAACAATTGCAGCTCTTGCGCCTTCCCCCAGTGAAACGCGTGTTATGACTTTTTCGGTGAAGTTATAACATCCAGTCGTTTCCGCAGTAAAATGCTTAGGCTCAAGCTTGCAGAATGTCGCTTGTCTCAAGACACACATCATTGACATCACAGCGCACAAAAGCTTGAGGAAAACCATCCATTCCGCATGAACACGGACACGCTCGATTTCAGAAACACGCGCTCAAAACAAACCGCAGTAGAATCACTGCACTTCAAAACCAGCCATTCCCCAAGTAGACGCTCGATTTCAGAAGCACCCTCAAGACACATCATTGGCATCACAGCGCAGGACCACCAGTCATTCCCCATGTAGACGCTCGATTTCAGAAGCACCCGCTCATGACAAACAGCAGTAGAATCGCAGCACTTCAAAACCAGCCATTCCCCAAGCAGGAGCTCGATCTCCGAAGCAGCCGCTCAAGACAAACAGCAGCGCAACTAACAACAGTCCCCCAGGATCTATGACAAAGATCATTCAGTGATGCTTCTCTTCAAATACGATTTCAAGACCAGGCCAATACTAGCACTAATCCAACAAGAGTAATAATACGAATACGGATACTACTGCTCATACTAATACTGCCGTAAAGTGCGAAAGTCGTTGCATTTGCAATGTTTGGTGCTTTCACCTAAAAATCTGGGAATGTTGGGTACTTCCGCAATACCTTGCCGATACCCGAAATGTCAACAGGAAGGCCATGGCACTATACCTAATCTGCAAGAACGGTAGCAGGATCAGGGTTGGAAGCTTACAGAGTTTGGGGTGTTCAGAGTTTTAGGGGCTTAAGTTGAAAAGCGTCAGTTGCCCATCGATTGGAGCGAAAAGCCAACAGTTTTGAGTAGTTTAAAGGCTCGGGGACATACACCTCTTAGCCAACTCCGGATGGAAGGTGTCGGAAGTACACCTCTACATGTGAGGGCATCGTGTTCATGCTCGAAACGCCATGTAAACGCAAGCAAACACCATGAACGATCTAGCGTGTCACGACAAATTCTCTGGCCGATACGACTTCCTAGACTGTTTCTGTGCTATTATTTCTTGGACGAATCCAGCATCCACCGCTGCATGCATGACCAAGGTTACATCCAGAGTCATTTCCGCATGTAAACGCTTGTGGGAGCGACTTCTCTGGGATCGAATTCCCATTGACTACAAGGATCCGAGCAGAGTGGGAGCGACACAGGAGTACTTGCAAAACCCTGCAACCCCCAGTGTGGACGCTGTTTGTTCCGACTTCCTCTTTCGCCTGCCCCCAGTGTGGGCAAGGATTTCAACAACATTGTTACGGCTTCTTGGTTGACCGTATGCATCGTTCGCTCATACGCGCACTCTTGAATTCAAGTGCCTGCACGTACGCCTGCATTTGCTTGCATGCTGCAGCGAACACACAGGCGCACCCGTGCTGCGATGTGTTTTGATGTTTTTACTGTCGGCTTTCGGGGGGAGGGGAGGGCTGCTTCTCTGTTGAGGAGTTTCTTTTTAAATTCTGTTATGCAGCCAACTTGTGGGGAAATGCACATGTCTTGCTTTCTCCAATTTGCATGGTCCATCCTGCACCGTTGTCTTTTGCGTTGCAAAGATCGACTTCGTTGGCTCTGCTTAGGGCAGGCTACCCTCGTTTATGCATGCAGTAGGCACAGCTCCGTCCTAAGCGTGTACATACACAGTACATCTAAAGACAATGTGACTGTTGATGTAAACGCTGGTGCAGGGGGGAGAAATAGAAGGACAGAAAGACGACACTCGACTGGAACATCTAACAAATAATCAAAGACAAACAAGGAGCAACTGCAGCATAAACACCAAAAGCTGCACTAATCAGAACACCAAAGCAACTAGCACAAACTTACCCTACAACACTCGAGCACGAGAAAAGGAAAAGTTGCCAACGTCGCCCCAGCTGCTGGACATCTGCCTCGAAGCTCCCGCTGTAGGCGAAGGTCTGCGGCCCGCAGGCTGCGGTGGAGGCTTCGCACTCCACCCTCCTTGAGCCACCCTTGGCGGATGCAGCCGCCGCTTCCTGCGAGGAAGGTCTGAGGGAACGATGAGACCAGCAAACCACAAAATGTACATAGACATACATATATACACGCATGTATTCTTGCTGGACAGGTTTGTGGTGACTTGAGGTTTTCTGCGGCTTTTCCCGCTTGTGTTGAGCCTTGCCCCTCTGTGGTTGTGTAGTAGTTTGGGTTCTGTGACATCGCAGAAAATTCAGTTCGGGAACTAGCTTGCGGGAGATGCCTCCAAAACAAAGCTCACATCGCTAGCTAGCCGCTAGCCTGCACCATACAAATAGCCCGGCCGCTGGCCTGAGAAGACTGCAGCATCTGTTTTTCCACCTTCTGCTTTGCCGTAGCATCTTTCGGCTTCGCTTCTTTTGCTGGGCGGGTCTTGGCGGCCGCTTTGACCTCAGTTGCCGGAGGCTGCTCGGCACCGGATCTAGCAATGCAACACAGTCAAAGTGGGCCTCTGCGGCTTCAGGAAGGTTAACTAGTGCAGACAGGCAGCAGATGGGACAGCCTTGGAGCGCTTTCCGTTACTTTCTGCCTTCTGTGTTGCTTTATCCCTTTTTGCGGAGCTGCCGGAGCTCTTTGTTTGGCTGGATGCTGCCTCCTGGAAGCACGGATTTGATGCCCACATATATGCCACAATATATGAGCCACAACAGCGCCAGAAAACTTAGAAGGCTTCGACGCCTCTTCTTCGATGTTCGGCTTGGCCGTGTCATCTGCTGCCTTCGTCTTCTCAGAAGAGGAGGCTGATGAAGCTGGCTTAGAGGAAGCTTTGACCTCAGCTGCCAGATCGCAGCGGATCTCGACATGCAACCAATGATATGGAATCAAAATTGCAAAAGCAATAGATTCACTTGTTCGGCTTGGATGCTGCTTGGTGTGCAGACAAGCAACAGTCGCGACAGTGTTGGAAGGCTTCGTGTCACCTTTGGCCTTCTGTGTGGCTGTTTCCTCTGCCTTGCTTCTGTTAGACCTCTTCGTTTGGGTGGAAGCCTTCTCCTGCACACGATTTGGGATCCCTCAATAAGTGCCACCATATGATAATATGCACCAGATCTCCAGACAACAAGCAATGCTTTTGACATTGATCCACGCCTACGGAGGCAACAGTGCCAGACCCCAGAAAGTGTCCTGAGAAGGCTTCGACGCCTCTTCTTTGTCTTTTGGCTTCGCCGCGGCATCTGCTGCCTTCGTCGTCGTCTCAGAAGAGGCTGGCTTAGAAGAAGCTTTGACCTCAGTTGCCGGATGCTCAAAGAGTGAAAAACTGTACAGCAAATTCAGGAAGTTCTCCAGTTCTCCCACGTCGGCTAAGATGCGGATTATATCGTTTCGTGTCGGTCTGCATGCAAACAAGCGGCCGTCTCGACAGTTTTGGAAGGCTTCACGTCGCTTTCTGCCTTCTCTGTCGCTGTCTCCTTGGCTTCTGTGCTGCCGGTACTTTTCGTTTGGCTGGACGCCACATCCTGGAAGCACACAAGCCCGGCGGCGCTCACTCACTTTTCGCGGCATGCAGGAACAAGGCCACAAGAATGCCAGACACATGTCAGCTTTTGTCCTACCGAAGGCATCGGCGCCTCTTCTTCGATGTTCGGCTTGGCCGTGGCATCTGCCGCCTTCGTCTTCTCAGAAGTGGAGTCTGACGCTATAGAGGCAGCTTTGACCTCAGTTGCTGGGCCCGCCAAATTTAAGCAAGTTCTCCCACGTCGGCTGGGATGCAGGTTGGTTTCGTGGCGGTTTGTGTGCAAAATCGAGCAAGCAAGCGGCCGTCTCGACAGTTTTGGAAGGCTTCTTGGCTTCTGTGCTGCCGGTACTTTTCGTTTGGCTGGGCGCCTCATCCTGGAAGCACACAAGGCCGGCGGCGCTCACTCACTTTTCGCGGCATGCAGGAACAAGGCCACAAGAATGCCAGACACATGTCAGCTTTTGTCCTACCGAACGCATCGGCGCCTCTTCTTCGATGTTCGGCTTGGCCGTGGCATCTGCTGCCTTCGTCTTCTCAGAAGTGGAGTCTGACGCCATAGAGGCAGCTTTGACCTCAGTTGCTGGGCGCGCCAAATTTAAGCAAGTTCTCCCACGTCGGCTGGGATGCAGGTTGGTTTTATGTCGGTTTGTGTGCAAAATCGAGCAA